TTCGTTGAATGCTTGGGTTGCCTCCCAAGAAGCGCTTGATTTAACGTCTTTAGCCGGACGCATCTTTCCTTTAAATTTCCCTCAGCTCCATTTGTACCTAAAATCAAAGAAAGAAAAATAAATCAAATATCAAAAGTAAAATACACAAACACCAATATAAACATAAACAAAAACAAAAATAAAAGGATTAGCAAAGTTACTAATCCCCGGCAACGGCGCCAAAATTTGATGTGAGAATTTCTTGACACACAAATTAAACCCTCTTTTTGACAATTGTAGTATGGATGTAAGTAGGGTATCGTTCTAGGCCGGGGATTAGGAGGGATTGCTAATCTATTCTAAATTAATTTAAAAAAATATTAAATAAGACTCAAGGACACAAAACTAGGCTAAAAACTCTAATAACTCGAAACACACTTAAAATGACTCAAAATAATGAAAACAATCAAATTAAACACTAGGAACTGAAATGGACGGAAATTAAATTAAAAGACTAACAATAAAGAAAACTAACTAAATAATATAATTTAATAATGGATGGGTGTTTGGTTTTGATGAAAAGTAAATTAAACTTAATTAAATTACAGAATTGACAAAACATAAAATTAAGGTAAAATGATAAATGACGGACTAGCTAGAGGGTTCTTCTCCACACATGACACATATGCAACCTAAATTGATTTTCAGTTGTTCTTTCAATAAATTGTGAATTTCAATACTCCAGATTAACCGTGAACAGCACTTTTTTAATCTTCAAGTTTTCCTTAAGTTATTGAATTGGACGGGAAAACGCATACAACAATTCAAAACATTCTTCAAAAGTCCCCTACGTGAAAAGCACAATAGAGATACAATCAAAGATCATTAAACTTTGTGAAAACTATATAAGCATTGACGAGGCATTCGTAACTATGAAAAGCATGATACTCTTGCCAAGAATTTACTTAACGTGATTGTGACTAGCAACCTTTACTACTTGTGAAAATAAGTTCATAACGATTAGGTGAAATTCACTTATATTCTAGCATCAAATTCATGCATGTAAATTAAGCGTGCACTCTCAACCAACATACACAAATCAGTTTTTATACGAACGGATAAGTAAATTGAAATCACAACTTATGAAATCACAACCGAAGGTAATCAATTCATATTACAGATATAATCATGGCTTTGAATTAACCTCTAGCCAAAATCAATTTATTTACACATTATTAAAAATAGAAATAAAAGAGAAGTTTGGAAAAATTAAACCGAAAGATAAAGGAGTTTTGCTCTGTCCTTTCCGAGGTGTGCTGCGCAGGCAGCTTTCTCTCCGTGCCGAGGCTCTCCTCTGCCTCTCTCTGCAAAGCCCTGCTATATTTCTATTCTTTTTCGCCCAAAACAGCCTTTGACTTCTCTCCTTCTGACTTCATGTCTTCTCTTTTTTTATTTTCTTTTTCTCCCCGATGCTGCTCTCTCTGCACGTCCTCACCTCTCCACTCTCACGCTGCCCAAAAGGGCAGCTCCCCCCTTCTCCCGCTCTCCAGACCCCCCCCGCTGCTGCCTTTTTGTTTTCTGTTTTTCTATTCCCTCTTTTCCCGCATACTCCTGCCTTCCACTCCTCACGTTTCCACCTTGGATTCCTTTCTTTCCAGCTGCAAAGCAACTTCCTGTTGTTTTCAGAAGTGAAGAATATGGGAGTCAACGAGGTAAAAAAAAAATATAAATCATGATGCTCTCTTGCTCCCTCTTATTCTTCTTTCATCTATTTTTTTTTTCTTTCTTTTCTTCTTCTCCATCCGTTCCTTTCTTTTTCTACAAAACATGAATCATGATGATGTTTCAAACATCATCATGACTTGTTATTATTATTATATATATATTTATTTTTAATTTTATTTAAAAGCTGATCTACACAGACAGTTTTGACGAATTTATTACATAAAATTTCACTTGTTCTATTTTTATTTTCTTTGCATAACAAATCCTATAAACACAAAAATAACGTAAATAGCTCAAAAATATAAGGAACTAACTAAGAAAAGACGAGTGAATTCGAAGTAAAAATATATATAAATATGATCCGATCAGTATATTACCTGTACATAATTATTGTGAACGCTTGAAGTGCAAAGGTAAACACAGGACACCTAGGTAAGTTTAGGTGAGTTTATGGTAGTTGAAATGTTGGAGTTATGGCATGACTATATAATGTTTTAAGCAACTCCAACACTATTGTACGGGTTGCCCATGAATCGTACATGTTATGTTGAGATGCATTGAGAGCTTATAAACCTGCACCCCGATGTTAGTGCTCCTGATTGCGACCAGGGCACAGTCCTTCACGTGATGTTTACCTCATGCACCTTACACTCACCTTGGATCCAAGGTAGGTGCACAGTCATGTCGTACATACCACTTTAGGTGGTTCCAACTCGTAGGTGACCCGCGATTATTCGCACAGTCTTCATGTGATCGTAGCACTTGAGCGTATTTATTTACACCCAGTTTTGTCGTACAAACCACTTTAGGTGGTTCCGACTCGTGTGCATGTATACTTATTGAGATATGGATAAGTCGTACAGGTCACAAGAGGTGACTCCGACTTATGAGCTAGCATATGTGATGAGATATGGATAAGTCGTACAGGTCACAAGAGGTGACTCCGACTTATGAACTAACATATGGGATGAGATATGGATAAGTCGTACAGGTCACTATAGGTGACTCTGACTTATGAGCTAGCATTGATTGATGAGATATGGTTGTAGTCGTACAGGTCACCATAGGTGATTCCGACTTGATGAGATATGGATAAGTCGTACAGGTCACAAGAGGTGACTCCGACTTATGAGCTAGCATATGGGATGAGATATGGATAAGTCGTACATGTCACTATAGGTGACTCCAACTTATGAGCTAGCATTGATTGATGAGATATGGTTGTAGTCGTACAGGTCACCATAGGTGATTCCGACTTATGTACTAGTATGAATTATTAAGCACATGATTATTTATATTGCTGTTGAGCTGCTATGTTGTGGTATACTTCTGGATTTAAAGTTAGCGTACATTTGATATCATACTTATACATGGTGAATTCTCAAAAATTATACGGTTTTACAAAGAGGGGTTATTACAAAGATAATTATGGTTTCAAACGTTTTGTTTTTACCCACTCACATCTTCTGTTTTGCACCCTTCTAGGTTTTTATTGCTGAATGTTCGTATCGACGAGGATTCTTGGCAATCTCAGGATATAAGGCTACTTCTGAGGGTATAATCCTTATCCGTTATACTGTACTTACTTATGCTTTAACGTCACTTGTGAAGTGGGTTCATTCCCTCTCACCAGCGCACTCTGATATTTAAGCACTCTTAGGTTCAAATTTATTCATATTTTTCCACATCTTCACACTTTATGGCTTCGTCACCTTTCAGGTGTCACCCAGCACAGCTCGATTATGAGTTCTTGTGGACATTCCGGGTCGGGGTGTGTCATTTACTGTCATCCAGGCAAGTGCAAATATTCCATAGAGGTTTGACCGTCCCTTAAAGCACCCCAATGATGAGCTTGGAATCTCCTTCAATAACAACCTTGTTGTAGCCTTTCCTCTTGATATATGCGAGACCCTCCTTTAAAGAACCTTGTTGAAGCCTTTCCTCTTGATATATGCGAGACCCTCCTTTAAAGCTCTAGCCTCTGCTTCATTGATTATTGCACCATTCAAATTGAAGGCCCCTGCTCCAATAACAAGGCCATCTTCATTTCGAACCACAAAACCGGCTCCAGCCTTGGCATTGCTGACAGAACCATCAAAGTTAAGCTTCACAAAGCCTTTGTTCGGAGGATGTCACTTAATAATGGGGAAATTATCAAGGTTCCTAGTAGAAAACACCCAAAAGTTAGCTTTGAAAAACTCTTGACCAACGCTCAAAGCAATGATATGTGTCCTTGTAGGACTAGGAGTCTCCTGACGAAAAATTACATTGTTGCGATCATTCCATATCTGCCAACAGATGGTAAGAACTTTACTTAAATCGCTTAACTCATTCATGTCTGAGGAGGATAGGTTGTCTAACCACTCGTTGAAACATACTCCCGCATTTGATCTAATATTTTCGTTAATAATTCCAAACTAAACGCGCATGGTTCCACAAAAGAAATAGATGAGTTTGATCCTCAGCAGTGGATTTGCATATAAGACAATCAATAGGGATATCCTTAACGAATTTGTTCATCCGCTTCCTAGTATTCTGCCTACCATGAATAAGCAGCCAGTCAAACATCTTGACTTTAGAAGGAATAGATAACTTCCACATCTTATTCAGGACCTTTTGCCAGACCTGATTGTGTACATTATTGTTTTCAATCCACGTACGCTCTTAACATAAAACTCATCATTATGAGACAGATCCCAAACCATTTTATCATTCGTGTTGCACTAATGGGGTGGTGGAATAGATTAAGCTTTACAATGAGCTTGTCATAATAATATGGTTCAACTTTGTATTTGGTGAGAATCGAACCTAAGACCTCTCACTTACAAATGAAAAGGAATACATGTAATTAACATGAGTACACCAACAAAATATGAGTACAAATTAAATTGAAAACTATGGGTACGTATTAAAAATAAACTTATAGAGTTGGTACAAATTAAAAATAAAAAGAATATTGGTACAAACTTATAGAGTTGGTACAAATTAAAAATAAAAATGTATAAAACAAAATACTAAAAATATATAATCACAAATGATAAACAACATATGAATACATGTAAATTATTTATTAATCAAATAATGACATGGACAAAAGTCAAAGGACTTTGATAAAAACAAAAAAGAAATTAGATCTCAATTAATAAGAAATGAGCAAGTGGTTATTTACCATAGTGATGAAAAGGAATTGAGTCATTGTATGATGACGTGGGTTCAAACTCAGTCGGTGACTAAACTAATATATAATCTAACAAAATCTATCGTTTGACAAAAAATAAAATAATGAGAGATGAAAATGAGGAATGAGAATCTAATTTATCCTTGGACCTTTCACACACACTAAAAAATTATTAAAAAGGAGATGTAAATAAGGAGTGTGAAAATCACCTCCCTTTAAAAATGACTGTTCTTGGCTAATTAGTATTAGAAAAAGTTATATTCACCCTCGATCTCGAGTAATACAAAGAGATCACATTTTTTAAGCCACGGTTAATATGTGTAACTAGCCTCAGTCATCATAATGGATGTAATAACCATTTCACCCTCGATCTCGAGTAATACAAAGAGATCACATTTTTTAAGCCACGGTTAATATGTGTAACTAGCCTCAGTCATCATAATGGATGTAATAACCATTTCATATGGCCAACTGTGGTTAGAAAATGTGGTTCCTGGCTTTAACATTACTCGAGAAGGGTTTCACTGTCGTAACGAAGCTACCAACTAGTCCTACAGTCTTATCCTGTATTACTACAATAGGGAACCACCGCACTTAAACTACATCTCCGATTTTGGTCGTCTGATTCCACCATCCTATTCCTATGCCGGAAAATCACTGAACCCTCGGGTAACTCGCCGAGATCAGCGAACAAATACTCGTCCTCGTCTTTCAACCTCGTCGCCACATCATTATTCATGCAACTACTATTTCCTAAGCAAATTGGACTTTCCAGTACAACTGTTGATGCCGCATCATTAAACCAACCAAAGTCGCTAAGTAATGTGGGCGAGTCGTCGCTGAGATCAAGGTCGACTTGGCTTGTGAAGATTGTGAGCTCCTCGGTTTTGGCCGGAAGTTCGGATTCGGTGGTGGGTGATGTAGCGGTAGCGGTGATGGTGGTGGGGGTTACAGAGGAGGATTGGTTGGCTTTGGTGGTGGGCATGGGGTGGTTGTGGTCACAAACATAGGTGACTATGAGCATTGTGGGGTTCAGACGGCTTCTCTCCACTTGTTTTCTTGCAGGGCATCCTTTGGAACTACTACATCGATAATATCCCCTACAAATTTCAAAAGATACCAGCCAAGTGTGGATTCAATTAAATTAGTGGTAAACAACAAGCAATACAACAAGCAATTAAAACAAAAGCCATCCATATAAAAGATGTTAATTTGTAGTTGATTTGCAAGCATATTTTGTGCTAACTACAAATAAGTTTATATGGCATTTCAAAAAGATTTACTTTTTAATTTTGTTTAACATATTCCGGTTTTTAATGATGATCTTGTACTTAGGTCAAAATTCGAAATCCAGTTCATTTCTCGTAAACCTTACACAAGATCTATATCCATAAGGGTCCATACACTCTTTTTTACTTCTCACACATTCCTTTCAATTTTCAGCGTCGGACCGAATGTATTGAAGAAGATCAATCGCCAAAGTTTAAAAAGGGTGTGTGGGAGGTAAAAATTGGTGTGTTAATAGCACTTTTCTATCCAAAATCCAAATCAAAGAATCATATGCAGAAGCTATAGGGAAGATGCATTCTACTTACTACATATAGCACCAGAATATACTAGATTTAGTAAATTTTTAGAAACCAATTGACCTTTCTTAAACTCCCTTTTTTCCTCTCAGTGCATATACTTGAGATCTACGATATTGTACAACCCATGTGAAATTTATTTACTTTTGGTTTGAACGTATGTGAAAGTTATCTGTTCATATAATTGTACAACTCATTCATATAGCATCATTCTTCCAGGGAAGCAATTTTCATCACTGTTCTAAAAATTCTCGCCTGGTGCTGTTTAAGGCCCCTAGGCCCGCCTAAACTTGCCTAGATTCCGACTCTCACTTAAACAAAAAATCGATAACTTTCAATTTGCATTTTATTTTGTCAATAAATGTAAGAGACTTGTTGAATACTTGAATGAACACTCATTATATGCTTGTTCCCTATATTTTCAACATGGTCTAATACTTTATGATCTATGTATCATTTTATTTGTCAATTTATGTGTTCCAATACAATTATGTACTTTTTTAACTATAAATGGGCACTTTTTTTTATATATAAGATATCATAAATTTACTTAAATCCACCTAGCCACCTACACGCTAGGCTCCAATCTGTCGTCCGACTAGCGTCAGATGTCTTTTAAAACCTTGATTTTCATACACAATTTTCTCTACTTACATGTCTCTAGATTGAATAAATTAAAACATGGCCAATAGATAAAAATAGAGAGCGTCAAAGGAAAAAAAGAGTGAAAATCATGTTCGTTCTTTTAATTCATATAAGGAGCTTCCAAATTTACGTAAGCAACTATAAAAAATGAAAATGATTGAAATTTATTTAGACCAATTATTATTTAATTTATTTTAAAAAGGGGTGGAGAATATGTCATTTTCGAGCTGGAATTTAGTGCGTGAGTTTCACGACATGCATTTGGTAAGAGCGTGATACAACAACAGGCGCATTTTAGTAGAGCCGCCTCTACACTAAAATACGCCGCAGTGTCACAAACGAAGACACCAAAGAATACATCGCCGGCGACAAATACAAGAAAATTGCACCAAACTTATCAAACTCAAATGCAATATCACTTAATTATTTTCATCTAAAAAAACATTAATTATTTTATTTTTCTTCATTTCCTTCAGTAATTTCTGTTGTGAAATTAACTGTTTAATTTGGATAATAAGTTTTGTAATTTGATATCTGCAGAAAAATATAAATAGAAGAATTGAATTAATACCTGGGATATGGAGAGCCTTTGATGGGCTTTTGGCCGTACTTTCTCCAGGCCCAAGAATCCGACGGTGGATGCCCCTCCCCTTTGCTCTTGGATCCCTCCACGTCACCGATCGGTACTGACACCACCCTCTTCTGCACTCCCCTCCTAAATTAGAAACAAACCAACCCAACCCCATAACGGTCGATCCATTTAATTTCCAAAATTATAAATAATTTCTCCTTTTTATCTTTTTACCCAGAAAAATAAAAAATCAACACCAAAAAAGAAGGAAAAAAAAAAGCAGAAAAAGAGACCTTTTCTTGGGCAGGGGAGTGGCCACCTGTGTGTCGTCCTCTGAGGCTGAGGAGGGTGAGTCCTCCATGAATTAACTTATCACTTTAATTTGTTGGTTATATATGTTATTGAGATGGGACTGGAACATAAGATGGGAGGTGTTTTTTCCCGGAAAATGAGAATAACAAGTGTTTGGCTGGTGAGAAAGTTTTTGGGAAGGGAGGAGAGAGTGAGGGAGAAATGGAGTTGGGAGGGAGGGTGGGTGTTTAATTAATATCGTCATGTTGACAGATGGGCAGCTTACTAGTTTATTAGGGACGTGCTAGCAAATAAGCATTAAAAAACATCCGTGTATATATATATATATATATATATATATATAATAATTAATGTTTGTATATTAAATTTAAAACTATGGACTGTAGTGTGTGTTACGATATAGTAGGACTGAGTTCACCATTAGTAGCTGTGGAGTTGAGAAATGATTGGATTGTCCGACTGGATTGGACAACAAATTAGAGTAAATTGTTGATATAGTCCCGGGATTACTTCGAAGTGAAAATTGAGTTTCTAATTTTTTTTTCTTAAATTTTAGTCCTTAAACTCATCAAATTAATATTTGGAGCTGTGACTGTTCTTAAAATTGAAGAATTGTGATGGAGGAGCTATGATTGTGGTTTAATATTTGGAGCTGTTGTGGCGAGGTGGGATGTTGGCTGTGATGGAAGAGTTGATGGCCAGAATTGGTTTTTATACATAATCACAACAATTTTGTATAAAAGTTTACCAAACATTTTGATATTCCTTTTCTACTCAAAGCCTTTTTACCAACATAGTTTACCAAATACTCTAATGTTGTATTTCACAGCTCATTATTTTCACCGCACAATAGAAGAAGTTTATTTAAAAGCATAATAATACCATACTAGCTTTTATTATCTTCTATGGTTTCTGCTTAATCAAAAGGCAATTTAATTTCTTCTACTACTTTGCTTTATTCTTTCTACTACTTTGGAATCTGAACTGAAATAACCGGCTTGGTATTCTACTGACGGGGATTACCTTTGAAATTATAAGCTTCTTTAGCAGTCTTGCCCAATGCGGCATATACATATGGCTGGTTTGGTATTGATGTGCTTTGAAAAAAAAAATTGTTTTTGCTGTGCTGTGAGAATAGCAGCTGTGAAATAAAGCAGTAGAATGCTTGGTAAATTTTTTTGTAAAAGTGCTTTTGGAAAAAAAAAATCAGTATTATAATGTTTGGTAAACTTTTATATAAAACAGCTGTGACCATGTGAAATGACAAAAAATGGTATAATACTAGATGTGCCATTAATTTAATTTTCTTAACAAATAAAGGTGAATTACTAAATATACTTTATTTTTAAAAGAAAAATATTTATAAACTTTATCTTAAACATATAATTCAACGTTTAACAATAAATCATGATCCAACGTTTAACAAGAAATCATAATCCTACATTCAACATATAATCCAACATTTATGCTGCTTCAAGTTTTCAGCTTTTTTTTTAAGTTTATTTTTGCTGCTTCATGTTTTCAGTTTTTTTTTCATCCAAAACTATGAAAATAAGCTGTTTTTAAGTGTTTACCAAACACCTTTTTAGCTCATCTTTTTTTTATACCCACTTTTTATAAAAACATCTCAGTACCAAACCAGTACGTAATCTTTTATCTTTTTCTAGTGTTTTTTGGAAGGGGTGATCAAATGTCTAGTTGATTGAGCTGAATGTAACTATTTTGATCTGGGTGCTTGAGGGAAAACTATGATCCATATTGGTCGTTGGAAAATGAATGAAAAGTAGATAAAAGAATATAAACATTTGTTGGTTTGATGTATTATGACATGATACATGTGAAAGACTCAACTTTGGGAGAGATGCGCAACATTCTGAATGACAATACACAGATCAATATGCTGATGGGATATTGCATGTATGGTAACCGTTGTTGGGATTAAGTGCGCCTGGCCAAGATAAGGTGACGGACAAGCCCCTAATGGTGGAGTCCTTTGTGCGGCTGTGCCTGATGGATACGAAGAGATTGTTGAGCTAGTCGGTTTGCATTGAATGTCCATGATGAATTTGAGGTTCCACCGTAAAATCAATTGGCTTTATGATGGAAACTCAATTTCATCATGGTATCAGAGTAAGGTTGTCCACGTGTGAAGTCTAATGGTCACACGCGCTCCACGTCACCTAGTTGTTATCCACGTGTAGGCTTGAAAATCCGTCACATGTGCGGAGTCGTGTTGAGAGTTGCCACACATGTAGGTTTGCACTGAATGTCTAGTTGGTTCCACGAATATGGCAAAACTAAATTGAGATTCAATATAAGGTCTGAAAGAAATTTGTGCAAGACAATTGTTTGGAAACCAGTGGTGTCTGCATCTTTATGTTGATGAATGATATCAACCGTTTGATAGATGTAATCTTCTTCTGAAACTAAATTTCAGTCACACACCAGCAGCATGAGTTCTATACAGCAAGCACCAGTCCCCTGAAACATTCACATCCACTCCCACGTATATGATGTATTCATCTTTCATGAAAAGACCGTTTCGATCCGAGCTACGAAAATGGGGTTTTGGCACCCATAACACGGCTGTCTGTATTTCTGCGGAAATGCACATTGGGTCCGAATTCCAAATCTCAGGAACATTTGGCAATGTTATAGATGTTGTGCAAACGAACAACTTTCATTAGGAAGTATTTTGATCTGAAACACGTAAGAGGGAGATTAGTTCATTGAACTAGGTATTCTCCTTGTTTAGTCGCAAAGAGCAGCATGACTTTCGTCAGTGGGTGCAAACCCAGACATGTCGAGTGCCATTCCTCGTGGTTTTAGAACTTCGAACAATTTTTTTCCCTTTTTCTAGGGAACACGAATCAAGGAATTAAAAATTCGGAGATTGTGAACTATAAAAATATTCAAAGAGGTGGAAATTTCGAAAGTGATCGTGAGAGCTTCTTTGAGAATTAAATCAAGTTCTCAATACAAACACCAATTTGTGGTGGTAAAAATCCATTGTCTTCAGTCTTGACGAATTTGTACATTCAAAACATTTAAACACCTTTGATCAATGACTGAAGCCACATGCCTACGGAGTTGGGGATTTGACCAATGGATCTCCGATGCTTAAGTCAGTTTCTCTGAAAAGAGAGCTCTAGGGCTTAATTATGTAGCAAAAGCTTACCAAAATTAGTGGAGAATAGGGTACTTATAGAGTTAGGGCCGGTCATATGTGTAGGGTTTTCCGTACCATGAGTCAACATCCAATTGGCTAAGGTGTGCCATTCATTAGATGGATTATCCCGAAGTATCTCGAAGAAAAAACACTAGGTATACTTGATTGGATTTCATTATGATTCCTTACTTGATTGAGTTGATCTTCAATAAGAAAGCTTTACACTCTGTTTGGATGAGGAGATTTAAGATTACTAAGAAATTTAAAAATGATTGAATTTTATTTTCTAGAATTTGTTAATTTCCTAGTTTGGTTAACCTAAAAGAACAATGGAATTTGCCTATGGCATTTGACCACAAAATTTGTTATTTTTAAATACTCACTCATAGAAATTGGAAATGACACCTATTTACATGGAATTTAAACTTCGAAATTGGACGTCTCAGATTTCATGTTTTTTTTTCCACGTGGAAATTCTAAATTTCTATGTTTATGAATCCAACAACAACAACAACAACAACAAAGCTTTTTCCCACTAAGTGGGGTCGGCTATATGAATCCTAGAACGCCATTGCGCTCGGTTTTGTGTCATGTCCTCCGTTAGATCCAAGTACTCTAAGTCTTTTCTTAGGGTCTCTTCCAAAATTTTCCTAGGTCTTCCTCTACCCCTTCGGCCCCGAACCTCTGTTCCGTAGTCACATATTCGAACCGGAGCGTCAGTAGGCCTTCTTTGCACATGTCCAAACCACCGTAACCGATTTTCTCTCATCTTTCCTTCAACTTCGGCTACTCCTACTTTACCTCGGATATCCTCATTCACAATCTTCTCCTTTCTCGTGTGCCCACACATCCCACGAAGCACGAAGCATCCCACGAAGCATCCTTATCTCCGCTACACCCATTTTGTGTACGTGTTGATGCTTCACCGCCCAACATTCTGTGCCATACAACATCGCTGGCCTTATTGCCGTCCTATAAAATTTTCCCTTGAGCTTCAGTGACCTACGACGATCACACAACACGCCGGATGCACTCTTACACTTCATCCATCCAGCTTGTATTCTATGGTTGAGATCTCCATCTAATTCTCCGTTCTCTTGCAAGATAGATCCTAGGTAGCGAAAACGGTCGCTTTTTGTGATCGTCGCTAGATTGCTCCGGTCATTAGTGTGGATAAGTATATAAATGGATAGAGATAGGAAAGCAAACACCAGATGTACGTGGTTCACCCATATTGGCTACGTCCATGAAATAGAGGAGTTCTCATTAATTGTGAAGGGTTTACACAAGTATATAGGTTCAAGCTCTCTTTTAGTGAGTACAAGTGAATGATTTAGTACAAATGACATTAGGAAATATTGTGGGAGAATGATCTCGTAATCACGAAACTTCTAAGTTCCGGAGTGTGGTATCGTCTTGACTTGCCCTATCTGTCTCGTAGGTAGATGTGGCATCTTCTCTGGAAGTACTATTCCTCCATCCAGGGGTGGTATCTTTAACTGGTGGAGATGCACAAGGTAATGTATCAATTTCACTTGAAGCTTACTTGTAGTTTCAGGCTTGGTTAAGCGCGATACAAACCATGTAGTAGGAGTCATCCAAGTCGCCGAGCTAGGGGATCTGCTGAAAGAGGTGATAGACAAGGTAAGCAATCAGAGCTCTAAGCAATCAGTCCCAGATCAGAATTTTGATTTCGAGTTCCGGCTGATTGTTCACATTCTCCCTATCTTGCAGGCAGCATGAAGGATAAAGAGAAGAAAAATGAGAAGAGATGATATGGGATACTTTTGCTTTTGAAGAAGTAACTTTCCACAGGCTTATTCTTGAACTGGGCTGGAGGGTTTCAGGTCTTCAAGAAGGTTGAACTGCGCGTGGAACAAATGTGTACCTCGCCAATTTAATCAGGGTATTGTCATCACTGGTGGGTAAAATTCTATGTGTCAACTCTAAAAATTTTTTGGTTCCATGGTATTGTTAATGATACATTACGCTATAATTTTTTGAATGCAACATTATATACTTATACTAAGTGGCGGGAAATTTAGTATGACTATCTACTTATACTAAGTGACGGGAAATTTGGCTGTCATATTAACTTAATATCGAACTCGCCGTCTTCAAAAGCCAAAGCTAAGAGTTCACACTCGACATCCACTTGTCAGTATGTCACATTATAATATAAACTATATATTAATAAAACTCTGTTTGTCAACCAAAATTATAGCAACTCTCTCACCAGAATTGAATAAAAACAAAAAACATCGACAATTTAGTAATTACGCCAAACACAAATTTTACTGTTTTTTATACTAACATCACAGCCATATAAATATAGCATATCCTATTTAAAAATAAAAAGTAAATAAATAAACCTCACTTTTCTCCTCCTCTTCCTCTCTTTACATTCCCACATTCTCCTACCTTTTCTCTTCCCTTTTTTTATTTGTCTTTTCTATTTTGAATTGTTATCCGTGTTCATTAATAATAAGTCATAGTAAAATAATAAAAAAAACAAATTTAATTACACACATGGAGCATGCGTGCCCATTGCTAATATAATCAATAGGAATCGAGCAACTTGTAGATAACAAAATTATATTATCTATATACTAAAACTCGGTTTCCTCGGCTATGTTTTTCACTGTTTGTGAACAATAAAATGTCGGAAATACCCTCTGCTTCTTCTTGCTTTACCGTTCTGTTTGGTTTCTTAGTATAATGAATTCTCGATTTTGCCCATGCTACCCACCTTCAGTCATTTTCTATGCGTGATGTACATTGTTGGTCATCGTTGGGAAAGGAAAAGCTCTCGGCTTTTCCATTGGTTTCCAAAAGAATCTCTCATTTCTCTCTCAAAACCACGAACCACAGCATCCTCCTCCGTTCGACAGCATCTCATCCCTCTTCCTCATTCGGACAACATTTCCCCTATAGGCTCCTCACCCCGTCGTTGTTATGAACTTAAGATTTAGTGATTGGCTTAATCACTATTAGGGGTTTAATATTGAATTCTTAGGCTTATTCCTGTTAATTAGTGAAGTCTATTAGAAATGCCAGTTGGCACTAAAGGTGTAAAAGTCTATAAAAGGAGCTGAACTCCCTCAGTTGTGGCAGATCAGAATTTACAGACAATAATACAAAACCAAAAAAACAATTCAAGAGCTCTGCTCTCTCTCTCTTCCTTCCCTCTCCCTTTATATCCTCTGTGACTTGCAGGTTGATTAAGGGGTTAGAGATTTGGAACATATCAATGGTATCATCCTTCTCGAATCCTGGTTTCCCTTCTGTGCACACCCACCCACCTACGTTTTCTGCCATGGTTGCTGCAAACGAGGATTCGCTTCGCGAGACCTTGGATGCTCTATTCGCACCCTACCTTGCTAGGATCCGCTGTGCCCGTGAGTTGACTCTCAGCGCTGAGGGAGACTCCACTCTAACCCCTATGTTCGTTATCAACGATGGGGGAGTTTCTGATCCAACCCCGGCGATTTCCTATGACACTGAATCGCACGATCTCGGTTATCCCAGACTTCAAGGAGATGGCAAACAACCAAGAATTCCATCGCCAATCAAAGTCCATTCCGTTCTACCGTTGTTTTCGTCATCACCATTGTTGCGGGAAATCACATCTCCGTCCATCAAGCCACAGTCGAAATCGAACGCTTCAATGGCAGTCCACACCAACAATAGCAAACCATTTTTGAGCAACAAAGAAGCTCCAACAAGTGGCACAAGGTCTAGGAACCACCAAAATTGCAATCCCCTTTCCACTTGCAGACCAGTCCGTTTGTGATTCCATCAACCTTGAGGAGTATGGAGATTACTAGAGCTTCAACTCACAGATTATATGCCTCTGTATGTTGCCCTCAACGCATACGAACATCACGAAGCGTCGACATGAGGTATTGACATCCTTGCTTTCCACTTTTACAAATCGGAAGGACAAATGGTACTGGATTTTGTTGTTTATTCTGGCATATTATATTGGTGTTATTGTGATATTGCATGAAGACTTCTTGACTACAAAATGTGGATGGGTTAATTGGTATCTTGTGGGAAAATTTGTGAAGAAAGATTTTTATGCCTTGGAACTGTTTGAGAAAATGTCTAAGAAAGGTAGTGACGACAAAATAGATATATCTCATTGGAGAGACCTCTACAGTTTCGAGATCACTACTTATATCTGGAATCCTTATGGCTGCACAATTATTGCTAAGCTTTTAGTAAGTAAATTTCAAGGAATTTTTGCTAATTTTCACCAATATGCTACAAGTGGACCACCAATTTGGAATGAGCTTTCCCAATTTAAAAATGTGGAGTTCGATGATGTTGCGAAGGAAATTGAGAATAGGGGTGTCAAATGGATATCACTACCAACTGCTTCAATCTTAATTCTCTTGTTTGAAGAAATGACTGCGAGTCGTCTTTATGATTTGGTGCCAATTTCTTCAGTCATTGAAGCATATTTGATGAATGAAATTGGCAAAAATGATGTCAGACACAAGAATTTTTCCTGTCCTACAAACCCAATGTTATCTCAGGAAATTACTTACTACATGGGTCTGGAACTTGGCTGGATTATGATCAAAGGCTTTGCTAATGAAGAGATATATGTTCAGTTGCATGAGAGTGTAAGAGGGTGTGATGTATATCTTGTGCAACCCACATGTCCTCCTGCAAATGAAAAATTTATGGAGTTTCTTGTCATGAGTGGTGCTTACCGGCTGAATATGGGTAGGAGGATCCATGAGTATATGTTGAAGATGGGATTAACGGAGAACTTGCAGGTTACGAATGCACAACTGGATCTTTATGCAAAGAGTGAAAACATATCATTACTGGGATATCTTATAATGCCATAAAGATAGCAATAAAGCATTGGATCGATTTTGGTACTCCACCACGTACTGTCAAGAGTTATTTTTCTTCAACCAATCTTGCGGTGTGTTTGTCATTGCCATTTTCCCATGCCTGGGTACACTTGAAGACCTTGCTTTATGCTTTGTTGAGCCTAAACTTGTCAAGGTCCTGCAACATTAATAATGTCTTGACTATTCCAGGCTTTGCTTATACTTACACCTTATTAAATTCCCTCATTTTGGGAACATCTTTCTATTCTACAATTGAGACCTCCTTAATGCTTTCAAGTTGTGTGAAACAACCAAAATTTATTTTATGCGCTGGTGGGTATCCTTCAACCTTCACTCCTACATACTCAACATTAATTCTTAGGACTGAACCTCACTCTAAGAGAGTCCAGGTTACATGGGAAGTTCAGTTGGGTGTCTTTCATGGAGCTATCATAGGTGCGAATAAAAAACATAGGTGTGAATCATATGCACGGGTTCAGACCATCCTTGTACAGTGGGTTGTATCTGTGCAACTTCACCAACATGCTTCTCCCCACCCCACAATTTTCTATCTGGAGCAGCTGATCCTGAAGTATAGTGCTACTGCTAGTGCCATAGAGAGTAAAGCATGGGTGATGGAGAGTTTGCAAAGGGGAGTGAAACATCAACAAAACAGTAGGGTGAATTACAAGCAATCAAGGTTTCGTTCTGTTATGAAGTCATCTACAAAAGAAATTACTTTTGATCAGTATTTTCAACATGCACTACAAGGTGGAATTGACAAGCTTGCGGGTGATGCATTGGCTAAAGCTGTCAAGCTGATACTCTATTTTCAGTACAAGGAAGGCAAGCGAATGAGTGTTTTTGAGAATCTATTTTTCTGAAGGGAACTACCATTGAAATGTTTTGATGTTGACTAGCGGGCAGTGGTTGCAATTGAATTGAAAACATGCATTTTCACAAGTGTGGCGCTGCAAGTTCTTATGCTTCATAATTAGTGGTCTTATGCTTCTTCCTTAGCTCCCATTGTTGAACCTTCAACCACCTTGTTACTGAGAACAGAGGAAGGTCTACTGCAAAAACCTTCCCCACAAGCAGTATTGGCTGAACTGATTTCTCACCTTCCTTCCAAGAACGACAAATTCACGCTTCGTTTGCAAGACTCCTTAACCTTGAGGACAAGGTTGTTTTTTCAAGGGAAGGGCAATGTTATGAACTTAGGATTTAGTGATTGGCTTAATCACTATTAGGGGTTTAATATTGGATTCTTAGGCTTATTCCTGTTAATTAGTGAAGTCTGTTAGAAATGCCAGCTGGCACTAAAGGTGTAAAAGTCTATAAAAGGAGCTGAACTCCCTCAGTTATGGCAGATCAGAATTTACAAACAGAAATACAAAACCAAAAAAACAATTAAAGAGCTTTGCTCTCTCTCTCTCTTCCTTCCCTCTCCCTCTCTATCCTCTGTGACTTGCAGGTTGATTAAGGGGTTAGAGATTTGGAACATATCAGTCGTCCTCCTCCGTTGGCCAACTTCTTCTCCGCTCCTTCTCCTGGGTATTTTTTTCATCTCTATTTTTCCTCAGATCCCTCTTGCCTTTACCAATTACCACGTATAAATACAACATAATCTCCACTCTCTTACATATCCTTCTTCTCGTTTTCTCCCAGAAAGAATCAACACAGCCAGCCTCTACCCATTAGCCACTGCTACCTACCTGCAAGGTATGTATGTCTCTCATATCTCAAATCATTTCTTTTAATTGAATTTTTTTAAGATCGTTTTTATTTTTCTGTGTTTGTATATTTCATTTTTGGTTTACTGTGTTCTGTGTGTTTATCAATTGAATTTCTCCAACTAATTCAGGGATGTAAATTTGGATTCCGAATGGGTTTTCAATGCAAATTTCATTTTAGTCTTTTAGAGTTTTGATTCCAGGAAGATCCTTAATGCATAGTAGAGTAACCCTCTTCTTTTCATTTCTTCTTCATCAATATTCTAATTTGATTTGATTATATCTACTTACGTTTGATGTGATCAATTTATTGTGTTGCAGATTGACTTGACCTCTCATATAGTTAAGGTTTTCTTGGCGTTAAAAGTATGGATTTTTCTGTATTGTTGAATTTTTTGTGCGGTAAATTAAACCCAGTTTGTAAAAATTTCAAAACTTTGATGGGTTAGGAATAAATTTTAAATCTTTGTCATGGTTTGATATTTTGTACGTTCTTCCATTTTCACCCTGATTCTTTTTTGATATTTCAACTTTGCCCTATTGCTTTGCTGTCAAATGAGTAACAGTTGTTGGAATATATTAGTATTTTAGGTATTATATTGTTTGGGTTTTTTTATAAGTTTAGTTTGGGCTTAGCCTATGTCTATAGCCGGTCCCAAGCCCGGATAAAGGAGGAGGGGGAGGGCGTCAGGTAGTCGACAGCCGGCACTCCATGATCACGTCGAATCCTTTAGTTTGGGCTTAGCCTGTTAGCATTAGGGTTAGGGTTAGGGTTAGTTTATTATAAATAGCATGCTTGTTAGTCAGTTAAGAATAAGTTATTTACAATGTAGTCAATGTAGTCTCTTAGGGTTTTGTAGCCGTTCCGGCATTCTAGTTTGTTTAATAATATTCCTATTATTTTGTTATCTTGTTCGTTGAGCACTCTGATATTCAACTTGGTATCAGACAGGTTTGATTCTTTGGGATTTAATCCGCTTCTGTTCGTTATCGGCGTTTGTCTTTTTTCGTTGTTTATTTTTTCAGTTTTGATCGTGGAATATTTTCATTTTCTGGTTAGTTTTTTGGTTGTCATTCATAGTCGGAAAAGAGAAGAAAAAGAAAGAAGTTTCTGGAATTGAAGTTTGGACTCGCGCTGATGCTAGATCCAGTTGATCCATCATCTACTATTGTTCCCGTGTATGCTGTTGCCTGTATTCTCAACCAGCATCCATTGCCGTACCGAACCCACCACCAACCACCAGCCTTCATACCAGGTTTGCCCCGTTGTCCGTATGTGAACCATTCCGCAATAGGCCATCGTTGCACCACTCACCTGCCGCACCCACCATCACCTGCATGATCCACCGATGCTGCAACAACTCGCATCTTTGCATCACTACCATGCCGCTTAATCAACCCACACTCGACCTGTACCAGTACCTGACCTGCCACTGTTGCTCTGCATCCATGATTTCCTTGTTGTAACCTATCAAAACCACCAATGCACCCTTGTTGTACCATCTTCGCAAGCCCAGATCCCATGAACTTGTACTAGATCTAGCTGCAATCTGTGAGTTTGTATCCGCCAGTCCAGAAACAAAAAGAAGAAAAACAAAATTTTTTTTGGCTGTTTGAGGTTTTGGCCCACACGGGCAGAGAGGAAAAATTGTTTGTTGGCTGTTTGCCACCCATTTTATGGTTTGGAGGTTTTGAGGCCCACACGGGCATAAGAAAAAATAGATTGTTTGGTTTTTTTGGTTTAAAGTGCGAGGACCACTAGTTGTTCGTCTCTTTGGGATTGTTATGTGATCATTTGAGTACTTGGACAAGTGACTACTTGAGTGATAGTTGTGTTTGTTCGTTGTTTCTAGAATTGAGATATGAAAATCTCATCTATTTAGTGACGAGTTCTTTCCATACTCTCAACACTAGCTAGTTTGAACCAGAATCAGTTTGCAAGAAGCAAGAAGCAAGTCAAGTCAAGTCAAGTAATCAAGAACCAATTCGCCAGTCAAGTCAAGTCAAGTCAAGTTTACATGCCTGCCAGTCCGCCTAACAGAGCCAGTCCGCATCTGCTTGTTTGCAAACCCATGTCGTATACCACTATGAGTTTGACGGGGGTGTTGGAATATATTATTATTTTAGGTATTATATTGTTTGGGTTTTTTTATAAGTTTAATTTGAGTTTAGCCTGTTAACATTAGGGTTAGAATTAGCATTAGTTTATTATAAATAGCATGCTTGTTAGTCAGTTGAGAATAAGTTATTCATGATGCTCAAATATTCAACTACAGTTTTGTGGGAAGGTGTGCGAAGGCTCTTCCATTTTCTTCCGTCGCTTTTCCTTTCTTTTCCTCTCTGTTTCTGTGCATTTCTCCCTGCGTCAATCCTTCGTGTTTCCCTGCTTCTCTCCGCCTCCTCCTTTGCCTAAGAGCCACTGGTCAATCTGGTTTCTCTGGCTTCTTCCGATGGCGGCCAAGATTTCGTCATGGAGGAGATGAATGATTGAGGTCAATCGGATCTTGAATACCATTTCTATCGCGAGACTTGCCCAGAAACTGAGACCATTGTCAGGTCGATGATGGCGCAAATTTACTCCCACCATAAGAATGTCTCTGCTCAGCTGCTGCGCCTCTTCTTCCATGACTGCTTCATTCAGGTATATCCCAAACCCCAAGATTCTTTTTTTCTTCATCTTTGTGGCTATTTCTCATATGGGTTTTGTTCTGATTGCTCTGCTTTTAATCTTGATGCTACTTTTCTTCATCTTTGTGAGTTTTTCTCAAATGGGGTTTCTTCCAAATTCTAGTCTTGCTCTGGGTTCTCTGACTTTCTTCATTTTTGTGTGGGTTTTTCTCGAGGGTGTTTGTTTTGATTGTTCTGGATTTTCTGGTTTTAGTTTTGGTCCCATGCTCGAACTAACTCTCCGAGGCCGCTGATCTTGGATTCGCCACTACTATATTTCCTTACTCGGATTCATTTCCGACGTTCTAATTCTACGGAATCAGCAGAATGTCACTAATCGATAAAAGAATCCTCTTTCATCATATTCTCTCAGTAAAATACGTACATCTCTCATTTTCCTAGCAATTGCTATATTATTGTGTTAGTTTCTTCCCTGCTATAAGTATATACATGTGTGTGTGTGTGTGTGTGTGTGTGTGTACGTATAATTATTATGTACATATGTATATCCCAATGTACAAAGAACAATAGGAGAAGTCTACGTGCAACATAAAACTAAGCATTAATTTAGGAACCAATTCAGCAGACATACGGTTTTGTACTTTCATTTTGTCAATCTTCTCTTCTGTACTGTATCGTTGTTTTGAAAATTCATTAGGAGAACTACTTTGAGGTTTAATTCATTTTATGTTATCAGATTTCTTAAGTGGAAGCAATAAGTATGTTTTATACGGCATATTTTAAATATTACATAAAAAATTACTTTCTAAAGATTGATGTGAAAATTTATAAACTGAATTAAATTTAAGCAACGCATGAATGAATTTAGCAAAGAATTGAAGTGCTATTTCATTGTTTAACGCTTTTAATTGATTCATGTTTATGTTTGAATCAGTAAAGAAACATTGCTAATTGTGTACCTATGACGATGCAACGTTGATATGCTTCTGTGTCAATTTGGCTTCAGTTATTTGGTAAGAGAACTTACTTTAACCTACCAGATTAATTCATTTTGTGTTATCAGTTTTCTTAAGTGGAAGCAATAAGTATGTTTTATACAACATATTTTAAATAATTACATAAAAAATTACTTTCTAAAGATTGATGTGAAAATTTATAAACGGAATTTAAATTTAAGAAATGCATGAATGTTGTTGTTGTTGTATGAATGAATTTAGCAAAGGAAACAAAAAATGAGAACTATTTTAAAAAAAATTTAATGTGTTTTAGGGTTTAGTAAGAAAAGTTGTTCCATGAGTTGTTTTTAATAGAAATATGAATGAAATGCACATACATGATTTTTAATATTTTAAGAGATGATGTTTATTGTCTGGAGAAAATAACAGCATCATTCCTACATGTTAAGTTTATTTATTTTTTTCAATTATTCTGGAGAAAATCTGAGGCCAGGTTCTTCGCTCTTCTCAGATTTTGCTGCTGATCGGCTGTCATCACACTATGTAATGAACTCTTCTCCTTCAAATATATCATCTTTTGATTGTGTAATCTTCATGGTCTGTTTGGTCTATTCCATTTCCAATTGGATTCTCGCTGTTGGTTCTATGTTTGAAGTTGGAAAAATCATATGTTGCTTTTACAGTTTGATTAACAGTTCTTAATTAGAATTGGCAAATTCTTTTACTAAACATTTTTTTTACTCATATTTCTAACGTTGGAGGTTCATTCTGATTTGAGATGGAAATTAATGTTATCAAGAGTTTAAAATGTGATGTAAGACAGAAACTATTATGATTTTGTAGAGAAAATAAGCTTTTAAATGAAAGAGCTGTAAAAACAAAGTCAAGGTTAGGTTAGAGGGTTTAAGAGAGTAAAATTGGTATTATGAAGGGTTATACAGGTATGGGTGGGATTGGTTGAAGGATTTGATTGAAGCTAACTCTTAATTATGATGCCGTTAAAAAAAAAAATCAAGGATAAGTTGAAGGGTTTGAAAGAAACTAAAATGGAATTAATTGGAACCGAACTATTCACTAGAAATCAATATATTTTTAGGTGTATTCGGAATACAAAGTAGTATAATAAGTGGTATATGTGGTTTATATTTTCTATACTTTTTCTTATAATCTCGTATGCCTTGGTCTAATTATTTTCTTGAATTCGATCTGTTTTTTGTAGAAACTTGGTTGCAAGGCAAGTTGAAAATGCACAAAAGTTTGATCGCGTCCTATAGAATTGCCAAAGAAGGTCATCTCCATTTCGTGCAAAATCAAACTTCTTTTTGCACACAAAAAAACTAGGTAAACACGCTTTATCCTTATTTTGTTCATGATATAATTCTACTGTCTATAAATTTATTTCAACTATTTTTTCCCTTGCCTGGGATGCTTCCTTAATCACCAACATAGCAGAGGACAACTTTTAGTGTTGCAGTAAACAAGCATTTTGTGTTTTTTTTAGTATCTAAAGAACTTCGTAAGATTTTTAATAGACGAAATAGGTTTCTCTTTTGATGTTTAAATTTGTTTCATTCATGATGAGGTTGTGTATAATTTGCATTGGCATTGGTAACTTAGTTTTTGACTCAAACATTGTTTATGAAGATTGAAAATTGCATAATCTTTCATATAGTTTTCAATTCCGCGCGTTGTTCTAGTATATACTAAAACCCAGTTCATCAGCTTCACTGTTCCTAAGCACAGTGGAAAGACGAAAACCCCTCTTCACCTGATCTTTTCCTTCCTATATTTCATGCTGCTACAATAAAAAGACGAAAAGCCCTGTTGCCAGATTTCTCTTCTCCACCGCTTCCTTCCTCTGCAGTCTGCACCACTTGCTTTTTACTCCAATTCGAATCGAAACCCAAAAAAAAGCTCATCTAAATGTTCTTCAAATTTGGTTAATTATGAAGTATAGTAGTATGTTCTAATTTTTTAGGGTATATGTTCTTCAAAATATGTCGGCAAGTTTTGCACGTTGCCCATCCAAGATAATATTTATGGAACCGCCATGTAGTATTTGCTAATAGTGTTCAGATTTTCACTTGGTCTTTCTTTTTTGATTAATTCGTGGACCAATTTTAGTTGCTAATCATTGTTGTAAACCCGCGACATCGGGCGGGCTTTTTGGCTCGTTCTTATCTACAATTGTCAAACCGTCTTGACCTATCTAGCTAGCTCACATCTTCTCAATTACTCCACTTGTTTTTCATCCACATCCACCAACTAATGCAAAACAAAATGGCAGCAGAAGAAGAAGAAGAAGAAGAAGAAGCACTTCTCAACCCCAACAAGCAACAAATAACCAAACTCTCCAAGTGGACGAATCAGCCCAAGAAGAAACCCTGGAATTACCAACCCTAAAGGCGGCCTTGTCTGTCCAAAGCTTGGGATATCTTGGATCAAAGAAAGAAAGAGAACCAAATGTTGATGAAGTGGAGAATACCTGCAGCTACTAAATTAATTAAGGACACGAAGCATCATCTCAGGTTCTGGGCTCATTCAGTTGCATCATCTGTAAGATAACAACACTAACTTCTATTTTTCTTAATTTTATTGTTAATTAACTTCTATTTTTCTTAATTTTCTTGTTAATTTGCTAGGCTATATTTCATTGTTGTCACGCGGAAGAATTACCATTCACTAGATCATATTTTGTGATATTCACAGGTGTAAATTTTATTCTTAATTTTCTTCTTAATTTTATTGTAAATGTAAGTTATGTACCCCTCTTTTTGCTAATTTTTTCTTGGGTTTGATTTTTATTCATTTTCGAATTTTCAAGGTGAAATTTGTTGGTTCTTTGATATTTTGTTGTAAATGATATGAAGGGGATAATGCTATCCCATCAACCATTGATGCATTTGGAGATTCTTTTGGAACGAAGAGACAAAAGTAGCGAATATGTCCACATCATTTTTTTCTTAACCATTTTGGATGAATTTTTTAAGTTATGAATTCGGTAAACCAAGGTACCCGACCTCAACATTGCATTACAAGATCAACACTTACATGACGACACGACATTATTTTATCGCATTAAAATGATAATCGTAATTATTCATTCTCTTTTCATATTTTAAAACCATCTCTAAAAAAATAATTCGATTCGGAATGCGTTAGTTTAGTCATCCACATGATTGAAACAAACTGACTTCATCATATGGATGTTGCTAAACAAATTCAATTTGGAAGCCGTTACTTTAGCCCGATTAATCCGTATGATTTGTTTGACATAAGTGGATGGCTAAACAGTTTTTAAATTGAATCAATTTTTCTAGAGTGATTTTTAGATAACAATAAAAAGAATAAACAATCTTAATTATGACATTTGTACTATAAAATATTGTCATTTCGTAAGAAAGTAAAAAATAAAGTATTGTGCTTAAAAAACAGAAGATATATTTTCACTTTACAAACATGAATTATCAAAGAAAGTTGATTCTCACACCATTTTTAGCTTATGAAATCAACTTCTATGACACAAATACACTGTCAAGGTAGCGTCTCGTACCAATTATACAAGGACACGCGGAAAAAGCTAACACGTCACGATTTATCTTTAGCCTTTGGGATTGCACAAATTTTAGAAGAATCATAGACAAAAAAAGAAAAAGAAAAAAAAAGAAAGAACAAAACTAAGTCTTAAAAAGAGAAAAGAAAGTGTGCATAAATCATTTCTTCATATATATAAACCGCGTTTGTAATCAACAATTTAAAGGAAAACAGTAAAATAATAATCGATCAAATTAGGAATCTTGCTCAATCCGGCAACGCTTGCGCTTACAAAGTTTGCTATTTCGTGTTCGGATTCTGGATGGAGTCTTGGAGAAACAAGAAATAACATCAACCGCGACGCTTTGATGCAACAAAAACCTCACTTGCATACATGCAGCATGCTTCTGTATACGTATATCTTCTCTCTGTTTTTCCTTGATTGAACTTATAGATCCATCTTATGGTAATCTGATAGCTACTATACTGATTACGCAGACTTTTCGATCTCCTTAAATTTTACACGATTATAAATTTACAGGAGCTATAAGCTATAAATTTGTTAATACTTACATTTGATGCTAATATTTTCAATGGTGTTCGTTCTCTACAGATTAATATGGTCAGTTTTCGTTGTTGGAGATGCCTTCCGGAAGTTTATAGCTCGGAGGCTTATCAGCATCCGTCCTTGAGTACTCCCTCCATCTTCGAGCTGCTGCTGCTGCTCTCCTTGCTCTTTCTTTCGCTTCCTCCTCTGAAAAAATTACTTACTTTGATTCATCTATAACATATGATGACATTAAAGCATTAAAAAAATGTTTTAAGTAGAAACCATCTTTTATGGAAGCTTTAACGATAAAGTGCCCCCCAATCATTACAACCACGTAATATCAATATTTTGATGAGATAGTTGAAGTTAGAGAGGATAATAATTTTATGCTGAAAAGATTATATGAGCTGAGGCAGGATTCAGCAAGAACCACTAGCACAGAAGATGCAAATCTAATAGGCACCCAAGGGAGATTAGAAATTCTGCTAACGGTTGTTTATTGTGTTGCAGGTAGGGATGGGCAAATACCCATTGGTTATGGGTAACCGCGGTTACCCGCCCATTTATTAAACGGTTACGGTTATGAGTAACCGTTTAGATAAATAAACGGTTATGGGTATAACCGTTTACCCGCGAAATTTAAATGGGCGGTTATGAGTATTAACCACGGTTATAAACGGGTAACCATTGACCCATTTATTTTATATATGTAAAACCAACATAAACCATGTTCTCGATCCAATAATACTTAGCACTCAATAAATTAGCAAGGAATTCATCGGTCATTCTCTCAATAACACTACTACAGGAATGATGATTCTCATCATCAAGGAATTGGCCAAATTAATTTAAATTCCATGCGGATAACCGTGAAATTGACAGAAATGTCTTCTAAACAATTTTTGTAACCCAATAATACTTAGCAAATATTATATTTACCTTTATTGGTAACAGTTAAAAATATCGTTTGTAAACTATTATTTCAATTATTGAAATGGTATAAGGACTTAAAAAATTAAAATATGGATATGTATGATAATGTACCTATAACGGTGTTTAATTGTCAAAAAAAAAAATTATGACAATTTTTTTTTAATTTTCAAGTTGTTAAAAAACATGTAGACGGGTGAAAAAAGGGTAATGGTAAAAAAAAAAGATAAACGGGTTAAAAAGGATAAATGGGTAAATGGGTATTAAACGGTTACGGTTAAATGGGTATGCGGTTATGGGTATGGTTAACCGTTTATAAACGGTTATGGGTATGGGTATAACCGTTTAGGCAATTACCCAACGGGTAAACGGTTATGTGGGTATGAGCATAAACGGTTATGGGTAAATTAACCGCGGTTACCCGCCCGCATAACTATTGCCCATCCCTAGTTGCAGGTAGTCGAGTTCGAGAACTTCCTCCACATGCTTACAGCTCTACGTGAATTTGGTTCCAACATATTCCATGCCACATGTCAACATCAAGTTGGCCAAGGACTGTCATTTGTTGGATGGAGAAATAATAATCACGAATATGTTATGTTGGGATTATATACAGTATACTTGATTGGATTTGATTGTGATTCCTTCCTTGATTGAGTTGGTTTTCAATAACGAAAGCTTTAAAGATAAGATTTGGTTATTAATCATATCTTTAATACCTTCGACTTTTCTCCTTGCTATGTGCGGCAAAGCTTGGAGAAGTCATAGTCAACAGCTTAGTTGTTCAAGGGGGTTAAACTACGCGTGGAACAAATGTGGAACTCACCAATTTAAAAAGGGCATTCTCATCATTTGTGAGTAAAATTTCACGTGCCAGCTCCATAATTTTCCAGATTATTTTTTGCTCCACAGTATTGCTAATGACACGTCACACTATAATTTTTTTTAAATGCAACAATATGTTTTTGGAGAGATTATATTCACACACCACAAATTACTTCCCTCAACACTCTTTTAATTTTTTAATATTTTTCTATTAAGTATTAATGGATTGTAGAATATCAAAAAATATTAAAAAAATAATAAAATGTAGAAAAAGTAATTGAGGTTTGTGAATATAATCTCTCATATATTTGTACTAAGTGGTGAGAGATTTAGCTAACTCACACTAAATTAATATCAAACTCGGCGTCTGCAAAAGCCAAAACTGGGAGCTCACTATCTCGCCATCCAGTTGTCACGTTATAGTATAAATAATAGGAATCGAGCAACTTGTAGATAACAAATTCCAAGTTGCCAATGTATGCAAAACATATATGGGTATTCTTATCTTCAATCGTGAAACCGTCTCGACCTATCTAGCTAGCTCACATCTTGTCAAAACCTTACTTGTTTTTCATCCACATCCACTAACTAATCCAAAACAAAATGGCTGCCGAAGAAAAAGAAGAAGAAGCACTTCTCAACCTCTTTGATTCATACTGGTTTGGGCATGAAATTTTGAGCCAGAAATCACCTTCACAACCCCAACAAGCAACAAATAACCCAACTCTCCAAGTGGACGAATCAGCCCAAGAAGAAACCCTAGAGTTACCAATCCTAAACCTAAGGTCTCTAAGTGACCAGTTTTTAAACACGCCCAGCTTTTCTCCGAGTGGCACACCGAAACTGCAAACAATTTTTTCCGGTGAACAAGTCACAAACTTCTCCAAAAACGATGAACTGCCGGCTCATCCGACAAAAAGCAGCCGGGTAAGTAGTAGCAGCAGCGGCAGCAGCAGCAGCAGCAGCAGCAGCAGCAGGAGGAGTAGTGAAAGAAAAAGAAGGAAAAGAGTGCTAGGGCCAAGTAAGAGCTTATCAGAGCTAGAGTTTGAGGAGCTCAAAGGTTTTATGGATTTGGGGTTTGTCTTCACTGAGGAAGACAAGGACTCTTCAAGGCTGGTTTCCATAATTCCCGGCTTGCAAAGACTAGCGAGTTGTGAAGAAGAAGATATTAGAGATTATCAGAAGGAGGAGGAGGAGGAGGAGGATCATGGGGTGGTTTCAAGGCGGCCTTATCTGTCCGAGGCTTGGGATGTTTTGGATCAAAGAAAGAAAGAGAACCAAATGTTGATGAAGTGGAGAATACCTGCTGCTACTAATTTAGGTAAGGACATGAAGCATCATCTCAGGTTCTGGGCTCATTCAGTTGCATCATCTGTAAGATAACAACACTAGCTACTATTTTTCTTAGTTTTCTTGTTAATTAACTTCTATTTTTCTTAATTTTCTTGTTAATTAGTTAGGCTATATTTCGCCGTTGTCGCGTCGAAAAAATACCATTCACTAGATCATATGATATTCACAAATGTAAGTTTTTTCCCTTCTATAGTTAGTAAATGTAAGTTATGTACCCCTCTTTGTGCTAATTTTTTCTTGGGTCTGATTTTTTTATTCTTTTTCTAATTTTTCACGGTGAAATTTGTTGGTTCTTTGATATTTTGTTGTAAATTATATGAAGGGGATATTGCCTCTCATAGGCTGTGATAAGTTGATAATGATATCCCATCAACCACCGATGGATTTGGAGAGATTCTTTTGGAACGAAGAGACAAAAGTAGGGAATATGTCCACATCATTTTTTTTTCTTAACCATTTTGGATGAATATTTTGGGTTATGAATTCGGTAAACTAAGGTACCCTCGACCTCAATATTGCATTACAAGATGGACAATGCTTATATGACAACGCGACATTATATTATCGCATAAAAATTACAATCGTAACTATTCATTCTCTTTTCATCTTCTAAAAAAATAAATTTGATTTGGAAGCCGTTACTCTAGTCATCCGTATGATTGAAACAAATTGACTTCATCATAAGGATGTTGCTTTTTACCATAACCCTTGATTTGTTCGACACATGTGAATGGCTAAACGGTTTTGAAATTGAATCAATTTCTCTAGAAATAATCTTTAGATGATAATAAGAGAATAAACATAAAATGTTGTCACTTCGTTAGAATGTAAAAGGTCAAGTATTGTGTGTAAAAGGTCAAGTATTGTGCTTAAAAGGCACAAGATATATTCACTTTACAAAAATAAATTATCAAAAGAAAGTTGATTCTCACACCATTTTTAACCTCTCAAACACAAAATCAACTTCTATGACACATACACACCGTCAAGATAGCGTCCCATACCAATGATACAAGGACATGCGGAAAAAGCTAACACATCACTATTGATCTTTAGCCCTTGGGATTGCACAAATTTTAGAAGAATCGTAGACAAAAATAAAACTAAGTCTGTAAAAAGAGAAGAAAGTGTGTAAATCAGTTCTTTATATATACTGCGTTTGGAATCAACAATTTAAAGGAAATAAATTAGGCATCTTGCTCAATCCGGTAGCGCATGCGCTTACAAAGTTTGCTGTTTCGTGTTCGGATTCTGGATGGAGTCCTGGAGAAAGAAGAAATAACGTCAACCTCGACGCTTTGATGCAACAAAAACCTCACTTGCATATATGCAGCATGCTTCTATGTATGTGTATCTTCTCTCTGTTTTTCCTTTATTTAACTTATAGATCAGTCTTACGGTAATCTGATAGCTGCTATACTGATTACGCAGACATTTTAGGTCTCCTTAAATTTTACAAGATTACAAATTTACACGAGCTATAAGCTATAAATTTGTTAATACTTACATTTGATGCTAATATTTTCAATGGTGTTCGTCCTCTGCAGATGAATATGGTCAGTTTTCGTTGTTGGAGATGGCCTCCGGAAGTTTATAGCTCGGAGGCTTATCAGCACCCCTCCTTGAGTACTCCCTCCATCTTCGAGCGGCTGCTGCTGCTCTCCTTGCTCTTTCTTTTACTTCCTCCTCTGAAAAAATAACTTCAGACTTTGATTCATCTATAACATATGAAGCATTAAACAAGTTTAGGTAGAAAACATCTTTCATGGAGCTTTAACGATAAAGTGCCCCCCAATCATTACGACAACATAATATCAATATTTTGATGAGATGAGGATAACAATTTTATACTGAAAAGCCTATATGAGCTCAGCAAGAACCACTAACGCAGAAGATGCAAATCTATTACGCAAGGGAGATTAGAACTTTTGCTCGTGGAAGCAAGCAAGTCGGAATGGTAAGATAAAGGACAACAAACATGGAACCTTACTGAGGACAACGGGCAAGCTTTCTGCATAGCTATGCAAGTATATGACATAGCACAGCCGCATAAGAAAGTAATACTTTTGTTATCAGTTGGCAATCCAAACAAGTTGATTTTAACTCATTGGACAAAGGAAAGGAAGAGACGACACTAGACCTCAAGAAAGAATATAAATCAAAGACTCTTTAGAGACAAGGTTTTATTACAGATTGTATTTAATTCTCAGGAAATACTTGAGGGTAAAATGGTGAGACATTAAGAAAGGATGGAAGGCATTCACGTTGAGTAAGTTCTATTGCGTTCTGTAAATTGATATTTCAGACATCAGCTATCATTCTTTCTACGGGTTTGCAATTACCTGAATTATGGTACTCTTTGGGCTTAGCCCAAATGTTGTCCCAGTATGCTTCAGTTTTATCCGTATCCCTCTTCTTCATCATCCTAATTTTAGCTTGTTCCTGCAATAAAACCCAGGTTTGTGAAACGTCATACCGAAAAGTATAAATGCACTTAGTACTTTTAAACCTTGTAAGCAGCCATCCAATTTTTTTCTGCCAAGAGGGAACAGCACCATAAAAATTGGCAACTCAAGGTTTTTTGTTTTCTTCTTTAGCAGAAGAAGTTGGAATTTCATGAAGACAGCTCTTTAGATCACAGTATCGAAGGATTCGTCCTTGGTTCATAGTTCATACGACCGATACACCCAATATTACCAATTTTACTTTATAGTCCCTTTCCTTTTCTCCCAACATAGTCTGCACGTTGTTGCAGACGATGTTGTACTTTTAACTTCTCATATTTGTATTCTGGGAGCAGCATTATTATTACTTAGTGTTGCTTAGGTCATAATGACTTCATTAGTTATGATTTCCATATCTGTTGTACCCAACATGGCATATTGATAACCTCTCTTAATATCTACGGGGAAAATTGAACATAATTTTAATATGAAAATGGCGTATTTTAGCCTTCAGGAGGATAAGTTTATTACAATTATGTAACCTCACAAAAAATGAAACACATGACTAGATTTTCACATTCAAACAAACTCCATATTTACTTGTCTCGGGCAGAACCCAGAAGCAACAAATTTATTCATGTTGACATTTTTTATTTTTGCTTTTCTAGTTGAAATTTGAATTTACTATTTCATGACTTCATGTGTCCACAATGTAGGTTATGAAAAGGAAAAAATTTAGAAAAGAAATAAAAGAAGTAGTATGCAGCTAAAGAAATCACAAAACATAAGATTAGTTGAAGAAAATGAGAGTTCCTACCAAGACTTGTGATTGCCTCTTTTGCCACCGAGAACTTGCCTGCCAGATTAACAAAAATTGCTAAGCTAGTTGTGGGACAATGAAGAAAGGCTAGAAGTAATTACATCCGAAAGATCATCTAAGCAGATGGGTATAAGAACCAGTATAATAAATCTTTATACATTCTTCTTTTGATTTGCTACTTGATTATAAATGTTTCAAGAGCTACAAAGAATAAACTTCTTTGTTCTACTTCGCTTTAGCAGAATTCAGATAATATACCAACACATTGTAGTTCATCGCACAAAAGCAAAGAAAAGTGAAACAAATAATTCGAAATGGCTTCACATCATCAAGAAATCAACTGAAAGTTGCTAAATTCATGTAGAACAATGTATATTACAAAGAACAAGTAACATACCATTCTGAAAACATCCACTGATTAGCCCATGCCTGCAAGCATCAGTGCAACCTGACCATCCACAGCACACTTTTAGCCACTGAAGTGACAAACGAATAATAAAACTATTCACAACTAAGGATTTCAAAATGGTGATATATGATAAAGAAGGTGCATAACAGTATAAATCTTGGACAATCTTAACATTATAATGATTGCTTTCCATACATTTACTCTTTCTACTCTGCGCATCTCATCTTCGAGCAATGATAGTTGGGCAGCAGAAGTCCAATGGATGCAATCAACAGGGCTGAAACAAAGTAGAATCTTACGAACTGATGCTGCAGAAAGATTTGAAATGTGTAGAAAAATGATTTGATTGATTGTCAAAAAACCAGAACTCTCTCAAGAGCTTAAGGAAGACCCTTGTAACAAGTCTGAAGTCAAATTCTTATTTGCTGTAAAGAGACGCTCTTCAGTGAAGCGTGTCCTGATTCCTAATATTGTAATATCTGTCTTAGTTGAACACGTGCCTCGCAAGCTCGAAACTACTCACAGCTCAAAATGACACAATACAATTTCATCTCAAAATGTTATCATATTGAAAAACCGATGAAGGAGGACCTACCAACTATCAATTGCCCGTTGAACTAAATCTACGTTCCCAAACTGACTCTACACTCGGGCTCTTCCAAAGTCTTCCTCGATACCAAAGACATCCGGAGGAGAAGGTACAACAACAAAAGTAAAATGACCTTCTGCCGTCGGATTAAAGATCCAACGGTAGGTGACCACCCTTTTCTTCGAGTCTTCGATTATAACTAGGCTGGAATTTACCCGGAAGCATAAAATTTTGCAAATTTAAACAAAACGCAGATGAAATTAACAAAAAAGCAATAATATTAGCCATACCAATCCCAAGACGGAGTAGTAGTCATCAGCGACGGCGTCTGTTGAAGGTGAGCCGTCGGTTGCCACTCCGAGCCTGCCCAAGCCTCTTCGCCTCCTGCCGCCGCCGCCATGACCACCTATCGAAGTCAGGCTACTGCTGGGCTTGGCTAACATGCGCCATGGAGTTCTAGAGCACCCATTTGGTAATGGGTTTTGGAACTTGAGAGCTTCAGTGAACACAGGGGAGGGGGACAGTAATTGAGCCATTGACGACCATGCGAATTGCAACACCAGCTTTTGCATAGGGCTAAATTGAATAATATAGTACAACAGTATCACGCCATCTATAATACTTCCATTTAAATTTTGCCAATTGTTACTACTAGAGTAGAACCGAAGGAAGGCCAAAAAGCCATGTTTAGCCTTATAAGTTATAACCCTGCAAGAAATTATATTTTAAAGAACAATGCTAGACTATATTTTATACCATGTTCAACCGAAGGGGCCAAAGTGTCATTGGCCAAACATAGCCCTTTGACAATAAACCATCTCCAACCGAGGGGACCAAAGGATCATAGGTCAAACATAACCCTTTCAATAATTTATTATTTTAATTAAATTAAACTACCACATTAAAATAAGGTTTTCAGACATATTTTGAGTGCCACTTGTTACTAAATGAATAAGCCTCTCGATTTCTTGTCTTTATATAATCTCAATAATTTTTCGGATAATATAGAATGGTGAAAAGTAAGTGAGAAATTATGTAGGAATGACTTAGGTATTTATAGGGGAAAAGTTCGTAAAAAAAAAATCAAATTCCACGCCAAGTAGCTGTTGTAGGGCAAATGGGCTGGGCTAGATGGCCAGCCCGCTAGCCTGATTTAGGTGTTTTGGCCTGGTGGGGCCCACAAGCCTTTTGGCCTACCCTTCGGTTGAAGATAGTTTTCGTGTCATTCCGAACTATTTTTAGCCCTATAGCTCTTTGGCCGTGTCAGTTAGAGATGGCCTAAGCAACCTAGTCTTAGGTTGTTACACGATTTTTGTTTCAATTATCTGTGTTGCATTATTTGTATTGGGAGATCTATAATCCTTTAGGACTCTTTGTATAGCTGGTGCACAATTGTGTATTTAAACCATAATTGAAGGAATGAAATTATCACTTCCACAAATATCTCACTTTCTAGTATTCTGCTTTCTTTTCGGTGTGCAACTGCTATTGCATTTCTACATGGTATGATCATTCTCATACGCTTAACACCCTACTTTGATCCTGCTTTTTGATATGTCTTCATCATCTCCGCTTCCTAGACCTAATGTGGCACAGTTCCTGAAACTCACAGACTCAAACTACCTCACATGGCTTCTTCAGATTAAGCCATTTCTCATTGGCCATGATTTATGGAAAATTTGTTGACGGCTCAAACCCACCCTCGGCGGTACCATCACCATCATCGCAACTCCTCTTCCAGCCACCACTGTCTCCGATAACACTTCAATTGTTACTACTGCCAACATCACTTCATCCATAATTCCCAACCCCGACTTCATAAAGTGGTATCAACAAGATCAATTAGTTGTCAGTTATATTACCTATACCGTTGACAAAGTTCGTTCTTGCTCTCACTGTCGGCCATGACTCTACTCAAGCCGTATGGGACTCCTCCAACGTCGCCTTGCTCACTGTTTTGTAACAAGTTCTGCCACTCTATAGTATCAACTACTCGATTTGTCAGAAGGTTCTCGCCTTGTTGCTGATTATCTTCAACATGCTAAATCCCTTGTTGACAAGCTTACTAATATCGGTCGTCCTGTCGATCATGAAGACTTCATCATTGCTATGCTCCGGGACCTTGGCCCAGAATATATGGTGCTTACTACTGCCATTATTAACATGTTTCTTCTACCTACTTTTGAGGAATTGCACTCTAAGATTGATGCTTTTGATCTTCAAAACCCACACTCACTCACTACTCATGCAACATCCCAAACTGGTTTTATTACCACTCAAATCCCACATGGCAATTCTCAAGTTTCCTTCGGAAATCATAATGGCAATTGGAATGATCCTCACTCCAATCGCTACAATGGAGGTTCTAATAATCGTGGGGGAAATTGGCGCCCCTCTGGTCATAACAACAACAACTGAGCTCATGATTTTTTCTCACATAATTGGGTTGCTCATAACTTTCCACCTCATCATCATTAGAATGGGCCTCTTACCCCTTCTCTTTGGCCAAGCCCACCCAACTTTGCTACCCCACTTCAGGACTACTTGGCCCAGGTCCCTGGTGCCCCATGTGCTCAACACAACAGCATAGTGCTGCCAATTGCCCACATCGCTATGGAAGGCCAAATTCATTTCCACAGTTTACGGGTTCAAGTGGTATAGTATCAAGATCCTAATACTTGGTTCCCCTACACTAGTGCAACTCATCATATGACATGCAATCCTAGTGCATTCAAACACCCACAACCCTATCATGGCTACAATTCGGTTCAATTGGTAATGATGATTCTCTTAATATTACATCCACTAGAACAACTTCCTTTTCAATTAAATAATGCAAGGTTACTATTCCATTTTTTATAATACATTCCATTGTTTGGATGTCAACTATTGGTTCCATTTCAGGTTTTCGTTATTATGTACTTTTCACATATGATTATTCTTGTTATTCATGGATTTATCCTATGAAAAATAAATTTTAAATTTTTATACATTTTCAAACATTTGTTGCCATGGCTAAAAATTTGTTTAACATATCCATTAAATGTTTTCAAAGTGATGGAGGCACTGAGTATATAAACCACTAATTCTCTGAATTTTGTCATTAGTCAGGGATCCAACACTGTCTTTCATGTCCCCATACACCTCAACATAATGGACTTGATGAGTGCAAGCATCATCATATTGCCGATATGACTCGTACCTTGTTTGCCACAGCTCATGCCCCTTCACTTTATGGGTGGAAGCTACATTTACTTCCATCCACCTTATTATTCTTCTTCCCGCATCTACACTTCAGTGATCTACTCCCTACACTATTTTATTTGGTCGGTCACCTAATTATTCTCAATTACGTACCTTTGGATGTATGTGTTTTTCGTATCTTGGGAATTATGTTACTAATAAACTAATGAACCATTCTCTTGAGTGTGTTTTTGTGGGTTATAGTGCTTCTCACAAAGGATATTGATCCTAGCACCGGTCATGTTTATATTTCTCGACACGTGGTGTTTAACGAAGCTGAATTTCCATATGCCACCCCTTACGGCTAGAAACCAGCCCAATTTGTAGAACTAGACATCCATCCCATTGCACAGTCTATATGCCCGCAACCAGCTCATGTCCTTACTAAACCCGTGGTCTCTCCTCAGCTTGCTGGACCTGCGTCAGGCCTACTACTGCTTGATGCGAAAATTACTTGACACACAAATTAAACCCTCTTTTTGACAATTGTAGTATAGATGTAAGTAGGGTATCGTTCTAGGCCGGGGATTAGGAGGGATTGCTAATCTATTCTAAATTAATTTAAAAATATTAAATAAGACTCAAGGACACAAAACTAGGCTAAAAACTCTAATAACTTGAAACACACTTAGAATGACTCAAAATAATGGAAACACTCAATTTAGACACTAGGAACTGAATTGGACGGAAATTGAATTAAAAGACTAACAACAATGAAAACTAACTAAATAATATAATTTAATAATGGGGAGTGTTTGGTTTTGACGATAAGTAAATTAAACTTAAATAACTTACAGAATTGACAAAAACATGAAATTAAGGTGAAATGATAGGTGATGGATTAGCTAGAGGGTTCTTCTCTACACATGACACATATGCAACCTAAATTGATTTTCAGTTGTTCTTTCAATAAGTTGTGAATCTCAACACTTCAGATTAACCGTGAACAACACTTTTTTAATCTTCAAGTTTTCCTTAAGTTATTGAATTGGACGGGAAAACGCATACAACAATTCAAAACATTCTTCAAAAGTCCCCTACGTGAAAAGCACAATAGAGATACAATCAAAGATCTTTAAACTTTGTGAAAACTATAAGCATTGACGAGGCATTCGTAACTATGAAAAGCATGATACTCTTGCCAAGAATTCACTTAACACGATTGTGGATAACAACCTTCACTACTTGTGAATATAAGTTCATAACGATTAGGTGAAATTCACTTATATTCTAGCATCAAATTCATGCATGTAAATTAAGTATGCATCCTTAATCGACATACAAAAATAAGTTATCAATCAAGCAGTTAAGCAAATTAAATCACAACTCAGAAATCACAACTGAAGGTAATCAATTCATATTACAAATATATTCATGGCTTTGAATTAACCTCTAGCCAAAATAAATTTAGTTACACATTTTTATCAAATTAAAACAAACGTAAAACGTTGAGTTTGAGAAGATAACACCAATAAGAATGGAGTGAAGCCCTCTGCCTCTGTGCTTATTTCTGCGCCTAGCAAGTCCCTGACTTGCTCTCCTTCCTTCCCGCTGCTGCCGCCAGGCAGCTTTCTTTCCTTCTATCTTCTGACACGCTGCCTAGGGCAGCTTTCTTTTCTGACCTCCCTTTCAACCCCCGCGTCAGTCTGTTTTCTGCTGTTTTCTCACGCTGCCCCTCACGCTGCCCAAAGGCAGCTTTCTGCTCTCCCTGTCTACCCGTATGCTTTCTCCTTTTCCTCGCTGCCAAAGCCCTGCTATATTTCTATTCTTCTCTTCACGTCTTTTTTTCCGCATGTCCTGCTCTCCTTTTCTTTTATTTCTTCTTTCCGTTTCTGCTGGTTTCTCTTTCTCTCCCCCCAGCAGCCAAGTGCTGCTTTTCCTATTATTTTATGCGCCCCCTAGCTGCCAAAGCAGCATCTGCCTTCCACCTCCTCACGTTTCCACCTTGGATTCCTTCCTTTCCAGCTGCAAAGCAGCTTCCTGTTGTTTTCAGAAGTGAAGAATATGGGAGTCAACGAGGTAAAAAAAATATAAATCATGATGCTCTCTTGCTCCCTCTTTGACCGACTCTCCCCATTTCTTTTTGTTTATGCCGTGACATAATTCTACCAATAATCCATGACAGAATGAGAACGACTAAAGCAATTTTCGACGAATTTATTATTTAAAACTCATTTGTGCTATTTTTATTTTCTTTGCATAACAAATCCTATAAACACAAAAATAACGTAAATAGCTCAAAAATGTAAGGAACTAACTAAGAAAAGACGAGTGAATTCGAAGTAAAAATATA